ATTCTGGAGTCAAGTAAAAATGAGGCAAAGAAGGGTTAAATGATTTAGCAGAGCCAACACAAACAAAGACGATACAAATTGATTGATTAAAGGGATAGTTCAACCAACAAAAAAAAATGCCATAATTTAATCCCTCTCATGTCATTCGAAAGCTGTATGACTTTCTTTCTGTTCTCAGAGCTATAGACCTTAGAAACTGTCCTTAGAAACAGGTCAAGATAATGATAGACATTAAATATATATATATATATATATATATATTTTTCAATGTGATATTTTATCTGCTTGAATGTACATAAATGTGTAATCAAAACCATTTGTGTAATTTGCCTCCTTGTATGTCTTTAAAGGATTTCTACAATCACAGCAACTGGATAGAACTGGGGAACCAGTTCCCATACTCCAACCTGATCAGACCTGATAGCCCAATAAACAACATTGCAGGTATGGCAAACAATTAAAGTGGGATTTTATCTTTTTCTGTTCTATACAGTTCATATGCAAGTTTTTGCACTTGTTGCAAATCATTAATACATGATACATTAATAATGATTATTCATACAATACATATTAATACATTCATATAGTGATGTCTGAGTAATGAACAAAATGTTTAAATAGGTGCTTTTTAGTGGCTTTTAATTAATAATTAAACTGATTCACTGAAATTATTCACCTAACTGAACTGAACTCACAAGTTAAGTGAACACTAAACTAAATCAAATAATTGAATCAAACTAATTCAGAATGCCCCGCATCCAGAATTTAAGCAATTGTTTTTGGCAAAACAAACAAAAACAGTTGATTCATATGCTGTGCAAAAATATCAGTTCAGAACTCTTTTTGGATTTTTATATTTTTCTATATTTAAAGAACCTACAAGACCCACTTGTAGAAACTGTGATGGAGGTTACTGTAGAAATAATAAACTGGAAGACATCATACAAGAGAAAAAACTGACATCAGAATACTTTGGATTCCCCAAACCATCTGGTACTGAAATCTTGATATCCTAACAATCAATCAATCAATCCAGTTTAAACTAATCAATACACATTGAATATTACAGGAAAATGTAGCCACAGAACTTTCTTTGACATTTCAAGTTGGTTTACACCTAAAGGTGGACTCAATAAAGATTCACGATAATCTGAGCATGGTTACCTTCATGATACTGCTGCGACGTGGCCATCGCTGCAACCAGAGAACTCCTGGAAGACATTAGACGTTTTTTGGGAGACTCTTAACTTTTTGAGGTATGTTTACTATTTTTTTCCATACCGTGTTTGAATGAATAATTACATCTGCTTTTTAATCAGATGCCATGATCAGTTAATTAAATGTGCCCCCGAATGACAGACCTACGTAAATCCCATAAGAAGAACCATCAGAGAAATTCAGGAGTGGGGTACTGTTCACAGTTCATGCCAGACTGGATCATCAGCATCTTGATATGCCTGTGAGGTGGATGGATTGTCTCGGCAAAGGAGAAGTGCTCACTAACACTAACATGCCAGACTGGATCATTACCCAATCAGAACAGCACATTTACCTTTGTCCACATATATAAATTATGCATCCAGATAATCTGATCTCTTTTCCCCATGGAATATCTAAATCAGGGATACACAATTATTAACAATAATAAATATACGTATGGCTGCCAAAAATAACTAATACTGAAAAATACGGATTACCTAGAATTATATTTAGATCCATTCATCAACAATTCAATTGACAATATGTTTTTTTTCTCAGTACTGAGCATTGTAATCAATCACAGACATGTTTGTTTGAGTGCAAAAACACAATGCTAATCATATTTAGTACGTCACACTGAGTTCTAATATTCTTAATAACAATAAATTTGTGGACAGTGTAAATAAGAAATTCACTGTGTAGTGTTGACAGCTTCACTGATTGTTAATGGGAATTTTTGGGAGATATTAAGTCAACACTGAACCAAAGTGATTGACAGCATCCGTTGTTATAAAGGCAGCCTAGAATTATATTTAGATCCATTCATCAACAATTCAATTGACAATATGTTTTTTTTCTCAGTACTGAGCATTGTAATCAATCACAGACATGTTTGTTTGAGTGCAATTTGTTTGGTTACTCATTGGTTGATTGGTTACACATTTCTTTGTATATTATTTTTATGATTTGGTAGTTCTGCTTTTGATATTATTTGGTAGGTCTAAATAGATGAGTGAGTTGCTAAACTGTGTAAATCAATAAATCACATTTTCTTTGCTACTTTTTTTATAGGTGAACTTCATGTTGACTAACAGTCTTGCTGCTCGCCGGAGGAGGAGCGAGGATCCGAATCAGGGCCAGAGTCCGTATTACTCCACCAGGATCTCCAATCCCTTAAATCAGGTCTATGTGGATTTGGCTCTGGCCTCTGGAGGACTGGCCATTGAGGTCACCAAAGCAACACTTCCTCAAGCCACCAGCATTATAGCGGATGCCTCCACATCTGCTCTAGTAATGAAATCAATATCTCAAAACTTTCACACAGTGGAGTAGTCGTATTAAGTTTTTCACAGTCACATAGTTGAATAAGAATCCTCACCATCCACAATAGTGAAGAATTTAAAAATGTGTTTCATTGAGATATTAAGTATCCAAAATCAGTATGCATACGACATTATCTCTGTCTTCAGGCAACTGTTTTCCAAACTGTAAGGAAGCTCATTGCAGTTAGCAGTTAGCTCATTACAGCACACCATCAAAGTCCTTGGTAACTTTTTTCTCTCTCATACATTTGCAAATGTCAACAAGGCACTAGAGGTACAGTATATATAAGTAAAAATTTTACAGTAAAAATGTTGTACCGTAAATACATTTACAGCAAGGTAATTATTTATTTACAGTGTAGTTCACACAAAAAGTAAAATTCTGTCTTCATGCATTTACTCTTTCTGACACTGTTGCTTCCTGCAAGTTTTGTAATGCTTTCAAAGTGAAATGTCCAGAAAGTGGCACTAAAGGCAACGTTTTATTACATTGGTTATACATATCTAGGAAGCTCAGAAAAGAAATGTCCAGTTAGTAGCACTAAAAGGTTAATGCTCTATCGAGTTTGAAAATAAAAGTAGGCCTTAACAAAAGCAAACGTGAGATAAAGATGCATTTGCTGAAGCAACCATTCCAATTTATCTTGCTTCTACAAGTCTTTTAGTTCTTTTATCATTACTTGTGATTCATGTGACTTGTACCCAAGCACTCTGCATCACAAGAGCAATTCTGTACCAGGTGAGCTAACAAGCAAATTTACTACATCAAAAAAGCCATTAATACAGTATGGAGATGGTTTATATGATGCAAATGTCAAAATGTATAAGTTTATTGAGGTCATAAAACTTAGGGGTTTGAGGTCATAACAGTATTGTGCAAGGAACATGCAAGTGCAAGGAAAAAAAGTATTTATTAATCGATAATCTGCCCCGTAATCATAATTTATGTGAAAATGAATACAATGAAGTTAGTGTTTTACTCCCACTAGTGTTGATTTCAGCTGGAAACTACAGTCTGTTTTATATAGGCCTACAGTGTAACCTGTTTGAGTTCTGCTAAAAAAACAAACAATGTACTGTAGGTAAAGGCACATTTTTCCAGTCTTGGGCTTTCAGGTTCAGAATTACATGACGGTAAACAAATGAAGGCACTGTCTGGATAATAAGCAAGTACTTAAAATTTTAGGATTGAGTCATTATTGTGACTAATATGTTTCTGGTATGTTGTATGTTTGGCAACAATTCTTTAAAACCCTAACAGATGCAGTGTGTAGCTTTTTATTTCTCAAACAGCCATGTTGGAAGCTTCATTTTGTGGAATGGAATATCTCAGCAAACCTTACCGATGGAAATGGTACAGGTATCATGTCTGTGACTCTGCGTCAGGGCCTTGGAACCCCCAACACTAGCACCACAATTGGAGATGGAGGCGTAAACGTCACTTTTGTGTTCTACAGTGCCACTTGTTGTTCTGAAGTAATGGAACTGGTTGCTGTAGATGGAGCTGGAAATGTTGGTATATGCTCAAGATCAATAACATCTGCTGTCACCACCACACCCAACACCTCCATGTCTACCGCTTCTACAACAAGCAGCATGACAGCAGCAACAACTAGAGCAACGACAACAGTAACGGCAAAAACAATGACTTCCTCTCCCTCCACTAATGCCACAACTGACAGTGCTGGACACCCTTTTTATCCACCTATCAGTTTTTGGGTTAGTGTGGGAGCCATTTTGCTTTTCCATGTATTATGGTTGTAACCTTTTTATTATTAACTTTACACTAACATTCTATCACCCCTGCCAAACATTTTTGAAATTATCAACACAGAGTCTGTGGTTTGACTACATTTTTATGAATACTTCATGATTTAATATGTATACCTTAGATAATCGTAATTTCAGATCTAGGTAGATTGTTTTTGAACAGACAAATGGTGATGGAATTAGAACTAACTGACATTTTAATACAAATGAAAAGGGGCATTTGTATTAAATTATATTTGTATTTATGAAAAGGGGCAGTTTTTTTGCGATTTATAGATTCTGTTTTTATAAACTTTAAGATGTATGACAATTATATTAAATGTACTATATTCAATACTGCTTAACGGGGTTTGAATTATTGTTGTAGTGAACATAAAAAACACCTTGGTATAACTTTACTAATGCTAAAGGACAAAGTCATTAATGTGAATAATCATGACATTTCTCACGCTGACATGTGGGTTGAACATGTCTTTTCAAACTGCATAGAACAAGAGCTTAAATTATAACCAGCCTTAACCAATCACAGCTTCTATAAATAACAGAATAGAATAATAGAATTTAAAAACTATCATTCACTATAAATGGACAACTTTAAATCAGAAATTAAATAGGAGTTTTAATGCCGACAAAGTAACCTATGCTAGAATAATATTTGAGAACCACATGTCATTTTCTAGGATCCTTTGCTGAAGGTGCATGAAGTTATTAACATTAATGTTACTGATGTTACATAACTGGATTTAGCAGTCTTTTTAAGCTAAATGTGTACAAAAATCTTTCACATTTCTTCCAATTAATGTAGAGATAATATTTTAAAATTTTGTTTTAAAATAGTATGTTTCATCTTATGTAGGCTACATTGCAACATAGCTAAGAAAAAAATGCAACATGAAACTAATTGCAACCCAGTGTTCTTCAGAAATCTGATGTATTTCCCAGTGATGAAACAGGATATTCAATGAGAAAACATGTAGGGACTTGATTTTATCTATTGGGAATTGCTTGGATCATCAAAAGTGGTCGTTTCAAAAAGGAACCAGGTACTTTGCAGGAAGTAGTTAATGTTAACCACCAAAAAAGAAACCGTTTCCATTATTACACTTGATAAAAGTGCACCAATGCATCTTCCATTCCAATGTAATCAGCCACAAGAGCACAGTAGTATTAAAATCTATGTAAATTAATGATAGGTACCAATGTGAGTATTCTCTACCTTGTGAAGTCTAGAATTGTCCAGTAGACACACACATTCTCTGTTGGTGTTTCACCAAAATGTACTTGTGCGCAAACATCCGTCCACATCGATCACAACCAAAAGGCTTCTCACGTGTGTGGATCCTCATGTGTGTTTTGAGGTTTGAAGACTGGTTGAACATTTTCCCACAAAGGTTACAGCCATAAGGCTTTTCACCTGTGTGAACAGTCACGTGTTTTTTGAGGTTACTTTGATCTGCGAACTGCTTGCCACAGTGCACGCATCTGAATGGTTTTTCACCTCTGTGAATGCTATGGTGTCTTTTGAGACTAGATGCCTGACTAAATCGCTTACCGCAGAGTGTACAGTGGTGAAGCCTCTCCCTGTTATGAAGTTTTTGATGCAAGAGGAGAGTGCTGGGTTGAGAGAATGCTTTTCCACAATGTTTACACATAAACTTGTCTTTCCTTTGCATCTGAGGCGAGTCTGACTGTTTGAAAGAAAAGCACGGCGAGAAAGGGGACCGTTCAGATTGAGAAATGACGTTACCTTCATCGCCGTGTGTTAAATGGCCTTCCATATCAGGCATAGACAAGCCATTAGAGTCCATTGGAGTTGCATAGGAACACGTGGGATCTGCGCTCCCTCTGTACATCAAACACTGATTCACAGAAGGTCCTCCTTTGCATTCAGATTCAGCATAGGAGGCATGATTTGTGGTTCTGTCAAATCTCCTGGAAACCCATGAAGGATAGGAAGGGACAGGCTGCAGGTTAGTCCCTGCATCTCCATCACAATGTCTCTCCATTCTGGTTTCACCTGTTTAGAAATACAACATGCGTAAATGGAAACCAGTAAGCAATAAAAAAATGAGCAAATACTGTATTTAGTAATTATGTCAGTTACAACAAGAATTTTCTAGTTACTGCTTAGTAAATGTGCATCTTCACCAATATCATTCATTTCTGGGTTTTCGTCCTCAAGGAGATCAGGTTGCATTCCATTGGACTGCCAGAGGAACAGATGATTGATGGTTAATTTTATTATTTTGAATGCTACAGGCAATTTTAGCAGAAAACAATTGTTTCTGTATTCTAGACATACAATCTCTGAACCATGAAATACACTAATTGAATATGATTTGTTTGAAATACTTTTTACAATAAAGTTCCAATAGTTAATGCATTAAGTAAAACTCTTACATGTTAGTTAATAAAAATACAACTGTTCAAGTTAGCTTAGATCCATTGGACGCAATAACAGAATACCCTGACAAAAAAAAAAGCTTTGAAACAAATTTCACTCAGAAAATGCTAGTAAATTTTACAAATAATTTAAAAACATCATATTGTAATCACACAATGTACTGTAACACACTGAAAAAACATGACATTTTGAAGCAGAAACTGAAATTTTCTTATACAAAATACTCCAATAACCTTTATTTGCAACTTGGATTTTTTTATTTTAATAATGCATTAATAAATTACATAAATAAATGCTTTAGAAGTATTTTTTCATTGTCAGTTCATGTTAAATCTGAATATACTAGACCACAACTAAAATGCTTACTAGGAATAGGTAACATTTTCAACATTTAAACAGGCTCGTATAACCCCACTTCTTAAGAAACCCACTCTTAACCCAACTCTTTTAGAGAACTACAGACCGGTTTCCCTTCTACCTATCATTGCAAAAACACTTGAACGAGTTGTGTTCAACCAAGTCTCAGCCTTTCTCACACAGAACAACCTCCTGGACAGCAACCAATCTGGCTTCAGAAATGGACATTCGACCGAGACTGCCTTGCTCTCAGTTGTTGAAGCCCTAAGAAACTGTTCCCTCCTGGTGGAATGACCTGCCCAAATCAATTCGAGCAGCTGAGTCCTTAACCATCTTCAAGAAACGACTAAAAACACACCTGTTCCACCTTTATTTGACCCTCTAACTCTAGCACTTTCTTATTCTATTTTAATTCTACTTTATCTATATTTATCTTCTTTTTTTATTTTTTTATTTGAAAAAAACAAAACAAAAAACAAACAAACAAACACTAGTTTTCTATTTTTTCTATTCTATCTACTTGTATTTCTTTGTGCGTGTGTGTGTATATGTATGTGTGTGTGTGTATAATATATATATATGTGTGTATATATATATAT